AGGCCGCCCTGACTCATCGGCAACGCCCGGTCCCCGCCCCCGGGACTGGCCGCCGCACTGGTCAGTCCGGAGGGCGGATGTCTCCAGGCGGGACTTCCCCGGGCCGAACCTCCCCGGGAGGAGGGGAGAGAAGGCCCCGCTGTCCCAAACTGGCGCAGGGCAGTGCCTGCGTTTTCGTGCCAGTCAGGCAGTTTCCAAGGGCAGGCAGTTCTCTGCTCCTGCCGCCGCCTGTCAGAACTCTGGGAATAGGAGGAAGGACCATTTTTGTTCAGTTCTGAAAAAAAGCAGCAGCAGCCAAACAAAACAAATAGGGGGCGGGGGTGTGACTTAGAGCGAGAGGCAGGGCAGGCGCGTGGTTGGTAAATAACCTCCGCAGGTTCAGCCAGTAGGAAATGAAGGGAGAATGGAGTTAGCACCTGGAGATTTTTACAGGTCCCACGAGGGAATAAAGTGCGAAAACGTCCTGCGGAGGACGCCCAGGATCTAGATTAAGTCTGAAGACTGGATGGATACTGCTGTATAAGTTGGTGACGGGGGCGCGGAAAGATGGAGCTGAGAAAAGGATGTGGTTCAGCTCACTCGTCGGGAGGGATGTTTTATTTGAGGGTTTCTTAACTGATTGTATTTGTGTGTGAGGTGTGGGGGGGGTCTATTCTGACTCTCCTATAGGCTCACGTCTTGTTTTGTTTTGGAGGATGGGCCTTGACCTGCATTTTGTGAAACCCAGACTCAGTGGTAAACAGTTTTGTGATAGCCAACTGTATGGGAAAGACTAAAAGGCACCCCTGGGAGGGTGGAGGCAGACTGCTGGCGGTTTTCAGCACCCCTTCCCCCTTCCACACACAAACACACACCTCCATCTGAATATTTATTTATATTTTTGCCAGCGGCAGCTTGAGTTCTGTAGAAACACACTGCTTTGTTCCTACCCCGGGGGCAAAAGCTTCAACTTCAGCAGGGCAGGGCTTAAGGGGAGGAGCCTGTGTGGGCCTCTGGAGCTTTCAGGTGGGGAGGGCAGTAGTGGGGGTGGAATTACCTTATAAGGAGTGGAATCTAGAAAAAGACCCAGACCCAGACCCTGCTGTGGCTACTATCAGTTGTGGCTACTATCAATATCACCTAAAACTAGGGCAGGATGCCAGGTGGGCCTCCTACCTGTGAAGACACCAATAAGACCAAGACATGAGGCAGCTTGTTTTGCGGAAGAGGACTTTCTAGAATTCCTCAGCTGGACTAACCAGATCTTCTGGTTTCTGTAGTCTGAATTGGGATGTATTAGAGCCTATGGCACAACCCAGAGAACTAGTCATTTAAGTATCAACCAGGAATATTAGGTGTGATAATAAGTTGCAAGTACTAGGGACTCCTGAGCCAGCTGAAGTGAAACAGTTACTTTGTGATACAGGCCAGCGAAGGCAACGTGTTCACACTGCTCACGCTGGTCTTCAAGATTTTGAATTTGGGTTTCTACAGCTGAAAGGTTTATGAATCCTCCTCGAGTTGTAGAATGCCGCGCTTTACCAGATCTTTTCGCCTCGGCCTCCTTTGAGTCCTCGTTATCAATTCCAGAGCCTTGGTTTCCCACCCACGTAGTGACTGATCTGGCTGGAAGAGATTGACCGTAATCCCACACTCATACTGCTGCTCCACTTGACTGTTTTGTTAGTTTGTTAACAAGTATTTGTTGTGTAACAACTCTGTCTGCAGCCTGTTCTGAACATATTGGAGGCTATAAAAGACTCTAGTTGGAGACACAACAACACACTCCGGAAACAACTTGAAAACTTTTGGGTAGAGTGGAAAGGCCCAGGCCCTGCTGCCTGTCAGATCTGAGCTCAAACCCTGCATCTGTCACTTACAGGCTGGATGGGTGTGGGCAGGTTACTGATCACCTTAGTGTCTCAGTTTCCCCCCTTGCACGATGGGAGTAATGACACCTCCCTTGCTCCCTTGGTCATAAGGATCAGAAATGGGTATGTAAGCAGCCGGGTACCTGGGATGCTTAATAGACGCCCCATCTCACCCACATCTCAGGAGGTGGTCTGTTTGCTGGGGTCCAGTGCCTTGTCTCTCCTCCCCTGGGGAGGGGCTGAGAACAGCCCCAAGCCTCATGTGGCCTCCTTTCTCTCCCAAGACTTCTTCAGGTTCAGGGTCCTCATCCCACCTCATCATGTCTCGACGAAGCCAGCGCCTCACGCGCTACTCCCAGGGTGACGATGATGGCAGCAGCAGCAGTGGAGGGAGCTCAGTGATGGGGAGCCAGAGCACTGCGTTTAAAGACAGCCCTCTCAGGTAGGGCTGCCCCGCCCCAACCGTGGATCACTCTGACTGCACAGCACGTGGCTTGGGCGGTTCACTGCATAACCTCTTCCTCTTGCAGCCTTTGTGGGCAGAGGTCAGACATGCACACCTATGGGGATGCCAGGGCTCACGGCTGTGTCCTCTCCCCGTACTGTGAGCCAGGCTGCTGCCCTCGTGTTCAGAGAACAGGAAGTGGGGAGAGGCAGCTTCAAGAATAAGCCAGTCCGGAAACCCCAGAACAGAGAGCCGGGCTCACAGGAACCCCTTCTGCTGTGGATGGATGGGTGTGCCAGTCTGGCTATCCTCCCAGCCCCACACCCATGTGTCACACTATCTATAGGTCCTCGGCAGGGCCAGCGGAGCAGCTGAGGAGAGGAGCAAGTCTGAGGGGCGCTGGGACACGAGCTAAGGCAGGCCCCCGCCTCAGCCTGCTCCACTTGCAGCCGGGAGGCCCGGATGACAGCCCCTGAGGCTTTGACTAGCACTAGGAGGCCAGGTCAGATTGGCCTGGGTTTTCAGTGGGTTGTAGAAATTACTAATCCATTAGGAAGCATGAGAGAACACTTTGGCTTTGAAGTTAGAGACCTGGATTTGAATCCTGGCTCCATCACTTACTGATGATGTCACCTAACTGCTTGTGAGATACAGAGATAGTGGGAGCAGAGAAAGTACCTGCTTTGCGGACTAGACAGTCAGCAGATGGGAGTTGTTAGTTGCCCAGCAACAGGGCCGACCCACTCACCAGAGGAGGGCAGAGCAGCCACTTTCCCATTCCCAGCCAGGCTTACCTGCCTGCTCCCACCTCCCCTCTTCCTGGCTGATATCCCACAGGACGTTGAAGAGGAAGTCCAGCAACATGAAGCGCCTCTCCCCAGCACCGCAGCTGGGCCCTTCCTCCGACGCACACACCTCCTACTACAGCGAGTCTGTGGTCAGGGAGTCCTACATAGGCAGCCCCCGGGCCGCCGCCCTCGCCGCCTCCCTCACTAGGAACTCCATCCTGGACGACCAGCTGCATGGGGACCCCTACTGGAGTGAGTGTCCACCACCTTTCTCCAGGGCCTTTGCTTTCTCTGCTTCCTCTGGAAATTTATGGTCCAAAAGTACCCCCCGGGGAAATTTTCAAACCACTGCTGGGCCAGAAGTGGGGCTCCCTGTCTTTGGAAACCCTTGGAAGAGCAGCCTAGTGTCTGAACTCCCAGGCCCTTTAAGATGATAAAATAGCCACTTTATCATCTTAAAGGGACCAGTCCCAGCTCACCTTCCTTTGGACCCAGAGAGCTCGGGAGGGGTTAAGAGCAGAGTCCATCTGCTTATCAGAGTTGCTCCCCAGGGTGTCCCCATAAGTCCCTCTGGAACACCCTCCTCAGAGCATCTCAGCCCCAGGAGAACCCCACATTCTTCCCTCCTCAGGTGAGGACCTGCGGGTGAGAAGGAGGCGAGGCACAGGTGGCACTGAGAGCAGCAAAATCAACGGGCTCCAGGAGAACAAGCTCTCTGAGGACTTCCTCGGGTCTTCCTCGGGCTACTCTTCCGAGGATGACTACGTAGGTAGGGGACACCCTCCCTCCCTAGCCTCAGGGAGATGCTCCACCAGGTTCCCGGGCTGCTGGGGAGGTGATGGGAAGCCAGGAAAGGCACCTCTGACGGCTTGAGAGAGCCCAGTATTCGGCTGGGCATCCCTGTTATGCCGCCGTGGTACCCTGAGCCCAGGCCTGGGTGGCCCTCAATACACTGGGCTGAGATTGCCCTGGCCCCACATGGCCTGAGCAGCCTGTGGCCAATTCCCTTGTTTCACTCATTCCCAGAAAGGGTTTTAATGTGGGATTTCACATGTAGGGGGTGCTTGATCCCCTAGTCCAGTTCTGATCAGTGGTTTGAAGATTGCTGGCGAGGAGAGGGAAGCAGACACAGACTTCAAGGGAAATAAAATGTCAGAAACCTGGCACTTCATTCTGCCAGCATTTACTAACCTGCTAGCTGCCAGCCTCTATCATTTGGGGGCTCAAAGGAGAGTGACACAGGGTCTCAGCTCACATTCTAAAGGGGAAGACAAGTGACAGTCTCCATGTCCCAGGGCTCTTAAGAGTGAGGACAAGCTGAGCTGGTTCCCTCTCCTTCCCTGCAGGTTACTCAGAGACAGACCAGCGGGGTTCAGGTTCACGGCTCCGAAACGCTGTGTCTCAGGTGGCCTCTTTTTTCTGGATGGTGGTCACTTCTCCAGGTGGGTGCTGGCTGCTCTGGGCACGTGTTTCCACTCTCCCTGGCAGCCTCTTGCTCCCCATCTCTCTGCAGTCAGGCATCCAGCCCATTACAAAGGGACTGTAGGACCGTGGGGGGAAGCTCCTTCTAGAGTAATCACTGGGAGCCAGGAGCCGTGGGAGCACCCTCATTTGGAAGCTGGATGGAGGGCGTTGGCAGAGTGGGCGGGTGGGATTATAAGAACTGGGTATCGGAGAACAGGACACAGGCGCACTGGCAGTCAGGGCCAGGGTAGGGGCAGGGAGGGCTGCAGGTGGGGACACGCGGGCCGATGGCTCAGGGTGGCACTTAGGCTCAACGGGCCCTCTTCCAGGCCGGCTCTTCGGACTCCTCTACTGGTGGATTGGCACCACTTGGTACCGCCTCACGACAGCTGCCTCCCTCCTTGATGTCTTCGTTTTAACCAGGTGAGCAAGACTGACAGCGAATCAGAAGACCCCAGGACAGAAGGGGCTGACGAAAGCATCTAAACTGGAATGTGGTTGTTTCTCTGAAGGTTTTTCCCAGTTAACTTGCACCTTTTACTAGTGAGTGTGGAGTGGGTGCCGAGCCCCTCCCTGCCTGACAGGCTGGAACTCAGGGTCAGGTTTTGCTCCTTGAATTGACAGCTCTGCAGGGAGTATTCTGGAACACAGGTTCTGATTTCTTCCTGAGCACTTCCTGCTAAATGCCAGCCCAGCCACTTCTGAGTCTCAGACGAGCCTGGCCCTCCTCCTGCTGGCCGGGCCTGAGGCTCTAGGCAGTCAGTGTGTTTCCCAGAACGTTCAGCTTCCCAGTTGGCCATGGTGATCTAGACTCCTGGTGTTCAGCACATCGTGTACAGAAACCATGAACAGGTTTTGCCTGAGGATACTTTGGGTTTGCTCCCCAGGTCCCTGACCTGGCAGAACCAGAATTTGGGGACTGACCCTTGGGCAGAGGAAAGAAAACAGCCAGGAAGTCAAGGTCCCTCTGGCCATAATCGTGGTTGCAGTGGGCAGCCAGCTATGTTGAGAAGAGGGGCAAGGATGGATTCATGTTACCAAAAAAGGGTCCTCATTTTTCTAAAAGAAAACATTATTTGTTTAAGGAGTTCCATGGGTTTTTTTTTTGTTTGTTTTTTTAAAATATTTGCTTGCTTAGAGGACCTCTTATACGTGAAAGTTTTAGGTTATTCAAAGGCCTCAGTTTTTATTTTTAATACCATCAATAAAATTCACGGAGTGAGAGTTGTCCCCATCACTCCAAGCAAGCCCTTCAGGTAAAGCCTTGAAGCACCTAATCAGGCCCTGGCAAGACAGAAGCTTGAGGGCATCCCCTCCTAGGCTAGTTCAGCACTCAGGAAAAAGTCTCAAAGAACCTCCTGGAGGCACAGAGAGGCCCTGGCGCCCTCCTGACACCTCCACCTCCTCTCTCTCCCCTCCTGTGGTCCAGGCGTTTCTCATCCCTGAAGACGTTCCTGTGGTTCCTCTTGTTGCTGCTGCTGCTGACTGGCCTGACCTATGGTGAGCTTGCCCGCTGTCACAGGAAGGGGTTGGGTGAGAGCTTGTGGAGATGGGCTGGCGAGCTAGAGGGGCGGGACAGAGTGTGGGCCGAGGCTGGTGCAGAGCAGAAGTGTGAAACCTTGAGGGACAGTGATTGCCTACAAAAAAAGAAGGAGGCAGAGTAAGGGGGGTTGGATCCAGCCTGGGCAGCATCCTGTCTGCCTCTCCTGAGTCCTCCGTTGGCCAATGCTGCCTCGTTCTCAGGATGTCCGGTGGGTGGAAGGGGAAGTGCCCCGATCCACTGATTTTGTCCTTGGTTTGGGCTGCTGTGCCAGACTGCCTGACATGTCTAAAGCATCCTTGGAGCCGCAGGGCTGGAACATGCCCTAGTACAGGCGTATTAGGGTAAAAAGCAGGGACTCTGACACTGTTATGACTAGTAGTCATTTTCCTCCATTTCAAATCAGGACGTAGTCTTGGTGAATGAATAATTGTTACATCAAGTTCAGTCTTCAGCTATGTTTAAGAGCAAGACAATGAAGTAGTAAAAAGAAGTAAGAGCCCCTTTTGGCACTAAGATGCCTGTCATCTACAAGATGCTCTACATTGTCTGCCTCCAGCAGGTGCAACAGGAAGCATGTGACTACCAGACTTTGAGTCAGACCCTCTGGACGGGCCCACACTTACTGCTCTCCCTGAGCTGGTCACTCCACTCCTGTGCCTTTCAGATTTTCCCTGTGCATCTCCTTGTGACACCATCACGACCTTGGCTCCACCAATCCCACAAGGGGATGGTGAAACAAACTGAAATAACACATGGGAACATGCTTCCTGAACAAAACACTATAAGATTATAAAGGATCATTATTATTTTAAGGACAGTGCCCAGTTTCCACTGGATATGAACACACTGTTCTTGTAACAGGAAACGGAAAGGAAATCCACACTTGGAAAAATGTTCTACCTTAGTATAATTAAAGAAATACAACTTGAGTAGATGCTAAACCCATAAAACCAACTCTTAAAAAAAAATAAAGCATGGTCTTTAATTGTAAATTGGTAAAATTGAGCCTGGAGGGCATAGGGGCAACTCATGAAATTGTGAAACTCACATGAAATTATCAAATCAAAAGTTGAACACATATGAACAATAATTACAACTATGTAAAAAGTGTGGAAGTTCAGTGATAGAGGTGGGAACAATGTAGAGCATCTTGCAGATGCACTGCTGATTAGGCTGTGGTCCTTGCCTGTGTGCACTTCCTTGCTTGTGGCCCGGGGCCTGGGTAACCATCCTCTCCTCCATTTGCAGGAGCGTGGCACTTCTACCCCTACGGGCTGCAGACGTTCCACCCCGCCCTGGTTTCCTGGTGGGCCGCGAAGGGCAGCAGTGAGCAGCATGAGGTGTGGGGGTCCAGAGACTCGTCCCCACATTTCCAGGTGAGCATCTTAGGTCGCAGGCTGCCGCTCAGACTGTAGGTACCATTGCAGTCCCTGCCCATACTCCTTATACACAGCTGAAGAGGTGCTGCCTCGTCTCCCAGGATACCCCTTTTTCTACTGTTTGGGATGCAGGTGTCGGGGGTATGTTTTGTCTGCACTTAAATATGACTCAAAACTGTCCAAAAGTTATTTGCCATCTTAAACACAGAAAACAGAAGGAAAAAAAATCAGACAAATCATCTTGTCTACTTTGTTCCTTTTCAATAGAATTTCACAGGGATTTACTGAGCACCTTTCATGAGTCAGGTAATGTCCTGGTCTGTTACCTGTTACCACCAGATACACCACCCCCCAAAATCAGTGCCTTTAAAGTACCAGCATTGGAGTAGCTCATGAGCCTGCAGGTCCTCTGGGTGGCTCTTGTGGTCTGAACAAGGACAGCTGATCTTGGCTGGACCCCTTCGTGTGTCTGCGGCTGACTGGTGGGTCAGCAGGTGCGGGCTGGCCTAGGCCTTGCCTAGGTGGGCCATCTTCTCCATGCACCTTGGCTGTCCAGCAGGCTAGCCTGGGCTTGTTCTCAGCGGTGGGGCAGGGTTTCAAGAAAGCAGAATTGGGCCAGACATTGAGGCCCAGATTCAGAACCAGCACCCTGTCGCTTCTGCCACGTTCTGTTGGTTGAAGCAAACCTCAGAGCCAGGCCAGATTCACAGGCAAGGAAAAACTCCACCTCTGCGAGGCCGCATTGCAGAGGGCACAGACGCAGGGAGTGGCCATTTTTGCAACCTGCAGAGGCTAAAGATGGGTCAGGGTCAGGCCCAGTCCGTGCCCGCGGTCCGGTGGAGGGTGATGAGCACACAACCAGAATGTGTGTGTGCAGGTCCTGGGGTCCAGAAAAAAGTGTAAAACTCAGTGTTCCCTACTTGTAAGTGTTTGAACTTTGCTTGCATTCCACTGAATTTAACGTGGTATCACGTTTTTAACCATTTATTTTGGTGGATTTTACTTTCCCAACCATAATTTTATTTTATAAAACAATGACACGTCATCATCTTTAACTTTTCCTTTTTTGAGCATTAGTAAAGATATCAACTGCAATTCAATTTCAGGACTACTTTATCTTGTAAAATGGGGGAAGTCAAAAAATGAACATATCTTAAGCCCAACCTCTGCATTCAGTAGGCTCCTGCCTTTTAACCGACATTTGACAGACTTTCATAATTTCATTTGGGTGTTTCTGGGATTCTCTTCAGGCAGCACTGTTGTCATAAGTCCCTCACCTCTGTGGCTCTTCCCTCCCCGCCCTGCCAGGCTGAGCAGCGCATTCTGTCCCGGGTACACTCTCTGGAGCGGCGCCTGGAAGATCTTGCTGCCGAGTTTTCCTCCAGCTGGCAGAAGGAGGCCCTGCGGCTGGAACGCTTGGAGCTGCGGCAAGGGGCAGGGGGCCAGGGAGGCAGCGGCGGCCTGAGCCATGAGGACACCCTGGCGCTTTTGGAGGGGCTGGTGAGCCGCCGAGAGGCCGCCCTGAAGGAGGACTTCCGCAGGGACACCGCTGCTCGGATCCAGGTGGGAGAGAGGAGCTGGGCGACACCCTGGCTATGTGGGGTGGAGGAGGCGAGGCCCTGCCCACCCTGACACAAGGGAGACAGCAGTGTGTCATTCGGGGTCAGACAGCTCTGCCCCTTGACAGTTACTCACCTTCTCTAAGCCTTAGTTTCCTCTTTAAAATGGAGACTCTCCTGTCTGCCCGCCCCTGGTTGTGAGTTCACGAGGGTGCAGGGTACCTGGCACGAGGCCCACGTGGGTGTGGCACACCGTGTAGGTGTGTGGTAAAGATCAAGAGGAGTCTTGCATGTTTCCAAGAAGCACTGCAGCAGAAAGGCTGCAAGCTGAAGTTTGCAGTCAAACAGGCCTGGTTCAAATTCTAGTTACACCACTTACTGGTTGTAAGCAGTTCTCTGAGCACAACTCGTAAAATCCTCAGCCTCTCTCCTATGCCTGGTAGGAAGAACTGGTCGCCCTGAGGGCAGAGCATCAACAAGACTCAGAGGACCTCTTCAAGAAGATTGTCCAGGCCTCCCAGGTTGGTCGGCTTGTGGGCACTTGGGGCCTACAGTGGGGCCTGATCAGTTCATCATCTGTTCTTGGGCTGAGAGAGACAGCTGGGTCCCGAAGGGCCTGATTAGATGCAGAATGAGGAGAAGAGCATGTAGCCTCCTGACTTCTGCTTAAACTGAATCCACCTGGGCTGGAACGCTCTGCGGGGATGCCCTGGGAGTGCGCTTGAGAACAGGAAGGGCTACTTTCAAGCGGCCTGTTGTGTTGCGTGTAACGTGCTGAGTGAATGGGTGAACTGGTGAGTGCCTAAGTGCCCACAGATGCAGGGTGAGACTCCTGTAAGGACCTCACCCAGGAGGTCAGTGTCATGTTTGCTGGAACAGTCGGGAGGCCCGGGATGGGGATGTGGTTAAACAAAGACCCCACAGGGAACAGTCCCTGCTCTGGGAGACTGATTGCTGTGAGCCTGACGTTTCCTGTATTGGTCCCTACTTCCTGCTTATAGGAGTCTGAGGCTCGACTCCAGCAGCTGAAGTCCGAGTGGCAAAGGTAACAGGCACTGCCATCTAGCCTAGGCCTGCTCCTTCCCACCCCCACCCCCTGACAGGACTTGGGGAGCAGAGCCCCACAGCAGAGTTCTGACTGTGCTTGAAGCAGAGAGGGAGGTGGCCGAAAACTAGCTCAGGCCCCCTGCTCAGAGTCCGTCCTTGAGATGCAGCGGAGGTGGGGCAGGGGCTAAGGCACTGCAGGATTGGGATTCACGGGTTCTCTGATGGGCATAACTGTCTTCTCTGTACAGCCTCGTGCAGGCTGTCTTCCCACGCCCCAGACGTCTGTACTTGTGGAGGGTGTGAGAGCTAAGGCAGAGTGAATTGTGGGTCTGGGCTTAGAAAGGGAATGGGATAAGAATTCGCTCCTTGGGACAGGCAAGCCAAGTCACAGGCACCAGAGCTGCATTCTACAGCCAGAACTTCCAAGAGCAGGCCTTGCCCTCCCCAGTGGGTGGTGGGCAAGCACCTATATCAGGTGCCAATAGGGGATCCTCTTGTTTCCCCAGCATAGCCTTACCCTCACCGGAGATCCAAGGCTTACTCTTCTCTCTTTGGGAGTAGGATGACCCAGGAGTCCTTCCAGGAGAGTGCTATGAAGGAGCTAGGGCGGCTGGAGAGCCAGCTGGCAGGCCTGCGGCAGGAGCTGGCAGCCCTGACCCTGAAGCAGAGCTCGGTGGAGAACCAAGTGGGCCTGCTGCCCCAGCAGCTCCAGGCTGTGCGGGACGACGTGAGTTGGAACCATCCAAGTCCCCTGCTGAACACCCCTCCTCTGACACAGTCCTGGGAGTCTGCACAGCAGAGAGCCTCTTGCCCCTGTGGCCTTAGTCCCACAAGCCCCCACTCTGGACTTGGCATAGCTGCTGGCTTTCTTTGACAGAAGTTCTGCCTGTTTTCTCATTGATTACGTGGAGGGTTGTTCATAACTCGCATCCTTGTGGCCCGAGCAGGCATGCACGGGCTCTCCCCTTGCAGCAGGGTGCGCGTTCCCTGTCCCCTCTACCCAAGCCCAGCACCACCCCAGCCTGGCCAGGGCTGTGCCGTGGCAGCTTCCACTGTCCCTGTGAGCCTCCCAGAGTGAGACCTTTTTTTGGTGCCTAGGTGGAGTCTCAGTTCCCTGCCTGGATCAGCCAGTTCCTTCTCCGAGGTGGGGGAACCCGTACGGGGCTCCTTCAGCGAGAGGAGATGCAAGCTCAGTTGCAGGAGCTGGAGAGCAAGGTCCTCGCCCACGTGGCCGAGATGCAGGGCAAGTCGGCGAGGGAGGCTGTGGCCAGCCTGGGGCTGACGCTGCAGAAGGAAGGCGTGATTGGGGTGACAGAGGAGGTGAGGACTGTATGTCCCTGGACCGCCCCCAATGGATAATCTGTCCCCCCCCACCACACACACATTGGTTTGGGGTTGGTTTGGGAAGGTGCACATATGCCTAGGTAAGTGACATGATTGTCCGGACACCAGCATGGTGCAGGCGTAGGAGGGCTCAGTCCATGGGTTCCTGGCTCCTAACAGTGGGGACACAGGGGTGGACAAGTCTCTGAGTCCCACTACAACTGCTCTGGGTGCCTGTATTTTAGCAGGTGCACCACATTGTAAACCAAGCTCTGAAGCGCTACAGCGAGGACCGCATCGGGATGGTGGACTATGCTCTGGAATCAGGAGGTGTGTACACCTGTCCTCCCTTCCCCCACACTGGCAGGCCCCCTGCATCTGCCAGGGCAGCCGTGGTGCTAGGCAAGCAGGGCTTAAGATCAGCAGAAAAAATCGCCCAACCCAGAACTCGCAACAAAGGCAGATGAAAACTTGGAAGAATTCAGGATGTACTGAGCATCATCCCTGGCTGGGGAGGAGTTGATGCTTACAGCTGCTCTGTGGTCTGGGTTAGGTGTGAGGACTGGCTCTCAAAGAGGAGATGGGCAATAGCAGTCCCTGTTCGGGTTCCCTGAGCTGGCGAGCCAAGCAGTTGTCGGGGTCTCCCTCGCCACGCAGGCGCCCACCCTGTCTTTCTTTCCTGTCTCAGGGGCCAGTGTTATCAGTACCCGATGTTCTGAGACCTACGAGACCAAGACAGCCCTCCTCAGCCTCTTTGGTATCCCCCTGTGGTACCACTCCCAGTCTCCCCGAGTCATTCTCCAGGTAGGCACCCAGTGAGGGCAACAGCAGGAGTGTGGCCCTGAGCACTAGTTGCCTGGGTGACTGTCCTTTCCCAGGTCAGCGAGAGCTGTGCTCAGGGCTGGCTGCCTTCGTGACCTGCTGTGTGTTGACCCAACTTTCTTCCCCTCCAGCCAGATGTGCACCCAGGCAACTGCTGGGCCTTCCAGGGTCCCCAGGGCTTTGCTGTGGTTCGCCTTTCTGCCCGCATCCGCCCCACTGCTGTCACCTTAGAGCATGTACCCAAGTCCTTGTCGCCCAACAGCACCATCTCCAGTGCCCCCAAAGACTTCGCTGTCTTTGTGAGTATCCCACCTGGGGGGCCAGAGGGGCTGCAGGAGGACCCAGGGAGTCTCTGTTGAGGATAAAGTTATGATCATTCTTTGGTTGGGCGGAAGGGAGCAGATACGGAAGAGATGGCGCCAAGGTGGGAAATGGCATTTCCTCAGGCTGCAGAGGAAGAAACCGAGGCCTAAGGCATTAAGTGACTTGTCACAGACCACAGGACAGCCCCATGTCCAGAGCTCAGGCCCCTGCAGTCCCCGCAGAGGCTGGTACCTGCCCTGCCGGCTAGGAGGGGGCCAGGGGGGAATCGGGAGGTAGGGTCTTCCTCCCTGGTGGCCAAGGCCCGCGTTTAAGAGCAGGATCTTCCCTCCCTTCTTCACTCTCTCTTCAGGGGTTCGATGAAGACCTGCAGCAGGAGGGGATGCTCCTTGGCCAGTTCACCTATGACCAGGATGGGGAGCCCATTCAGACATTTTATTTTCAGGTATGGGATTCCATTTTACTAGCAGAGGGGGCATATTTATTTTCCCATCCACTCAGCAAACGTTTTGAGTACTTACCTTAGCCCGGGCACTGGGGGTTCTGAGAAGCCCTGCTTTCCCACAGCTCAAGGTAAGGAACAGATAGCTGTCCAAGTGGCGAGGGAGAGGTGCCCCAAGTAGACATCAGTGCAGGGGAGGGGCCCCTTCCAGATGGGGGTGTTGGGGAAGGCTGCCTGGGAAGGGCAGGTGTCTGAGGAGCATGCCCGGCTGGGCCTCAGGCAGCACAGTGTGGCTGGGGCACTGAGAGGGGCCTCTTGCCTCAACCTGAGTGGGCATCAGTCTCCTAGGCCCTTGTTAGAAACACAGATTCCCAGTCTCCAGCTCAGGTGAGTCTGTGGCAGGTGGCCTGAGCGCCACCCAGGCAAGTCCTAGTGTGAAGAACTGGGTAAGGTGGAAAAGGGACAGAGGCAGGAAGAGAGGCAGGCCTGGCAACCAGGCCAAGGCATTTCAGCCCTCAGCTGAAAATGAGCAGAGGAGACAGAGGCCTGGTGGGAACTTGAGAAAATAATTCTGCTTAATTCAGAGTAAAGGAATTCTTCTTCAGCATCAATATTATCAAACCCTCCATGAAGTTAGTTCTGTTCATTGTGAATAATGAGCTCCTGTGAATTTAGCCCAGTTTGGGATGAATCATGCTGGTGCTCAGCTACAAGGCCATCTTCATGTGGCCATGAGCCGGCCTTGAGTGCAGCCTACCATGGGTTGGTGGCCCCTGAAGCCTCTGGGGCCCCTCGGCCCATCAGCTGAAAACTGCTCCAGGGTCTGAAGCCTGGTTCTCTGCAGCGGCCTGGGCGGGAGGTGCGTCTGGCCTAGGTGTGGCTGTCTCCCCTCTGGTCTGCTGTCTGTCGGTGAGGCCTGAGGACTCTTACCCCTGCCTTCTCTACCCAGGACCCTCAAATGGCCACGTACCAGGTGGTGGAGCTGCGGATCCTGACTAACTGGGGCCACCCCGAGTACACCTGCATCTACCGCTTCAGGGTGCACGGGGAACCCGCCCACTAAGCCTTCTCTGCGCTGCCGGCCAGCTGGGAGGCCAGCGCCTCTCAGCACGTGCCCCCTTCTCTGGGGGTAGGTGAGCAGCACCCCTGCCACTTCCCCCACACGCTTGAAGCACACTGACTTCCAGGAGCAAGAAAGAAGAGCCCTTGGCCCAGTGGAGACGAGAGAGAACACGCAGGCTTTTCTTGACTGGCGGGCAGCTCGGTGGGGACAGCAGGCTCCGGTGTCTCTCTTCGTTCTTTGCTCTCTGCGTGCCAGGCACCGGCCACTACTCCTGGGAGGGTGTATATATGTAGCAAGTCACGGGGAATGGAGGCAGGGAGAGACAATGAGTGCACATGTTCCAGCAGAAATGGGTGAGACCTGCTTGCCCCTTGCCCGAGGGGAGGGCCAGCATCCAGAGAGCTGCTGTTGTAAACGAAGCAGGTGCCAAAGCCATCAGTACCAGGCTGCAGCCTGGGGCAGCTGAGCTGCGCCCCCTCCCTAGGCAGGGAAGTGAGGCCCTCTGGGAGGAGGGTGCTCAGGGTGCAGGTTGGGACTGGTACCCTGGCAGGAAGCTCCTGGGAGAGGGCAGCTGGGCTCCCCCAAAAAGCTAGCGCCAGCAACCTAGGGGAGCTTAGTCCATGGGTTTCCTGAAGGGCTTCTATACACTGTATTTGTCCTGGGTCAAGGTGAGCCATGGCGCTTCTTGTACCCTAGAAGGTCTGGCTCCTGTGAGCTTCTGAGGGTTGCTGCCTGTGTGGCTGAGGCTGGAGCCAGCCCTATAGGATTCCCTTCTGCTGGGACAGTACTTGCTTTCTCTCTGATGCTAGGACTGGGGCACTCTGCTCCCCATTCCTGCTAGGGCCTGCCCGTGTCCCAGAGCAAGATTGCCACATTCCCCCAGGGTGCGGGGAGCCCTCATTCTTTGAGGCCACGGCCATCTGGGGCCAGCTAAAAGTGTAGGGAGCAGGGGACTCCCTGGACTCTGCATTGTTGGCTCTACCCTAACCCTCATCAGGCCCCTGATGTAAGAGGCCCCTAACCCTCAGCCACCCTGTTGGGGCTTTCTCAGCTCTTGCTCAATTCTGTTTCCTTTCAGACTCATTTTCTATGGGGGGTAGGCAGTCAGGGGTGGGGGGCTGGGTGAAGAGGGTGGGGGCTGACATGTGGGCTTTTGGACCCAGCAGTCCCTGATGTATTATGTATATATTTTTCAAGGTCTGTTTTTTTAACTGAAAAGCTAAGGGCTTGATTCCTAGCCCCGTTCTGTGGGGCAGTGGGTGATTTCAGTTCCTTGTAACCTGGCTGCCAAGAGGGGCTTGGGACACTGGTTCCAACTCTGGGTCATTCTGGCCTGTGGGGAGGGGGCAGGAAGGGCTGCTGTGCAGGTGGGTGCCCCGAATGGCTTCCTGGAGGATGGAGCTGGAATGAAGGCAAGGCTCCCCAGCCACCCTGTGGTCCTCCAGCACTGGCCTCTGCCCCCAGACAACCAGGTTTTGCGCTCTCCTGTCACAAATGCTGCACTGTTGGTTAATTTTTTAAATCTCCAGATTCTAATTTATGCCTATGCAAAAAATAAATTATGCCCAGGATTAACGGAGTGTGTGGTTTTATCTGGCCGTTGTACAGGGACTCTGTTCTTGGGGAAAAGAGAATAAATTCTTAGCCAGAACAATGCCCCAAAGACTTACTCCTAAACTTTAGAGAGCAAAGCCTCTCAGCTAAAACCCAGCTGAGATGGGATCTGAGGCAGGCCCTATCCCCATGACTCTGGGCTCAAGGGTCGGCAAGAGAAAGAAGTGAGGTGGCTTTATTAGCCATCACTGATGTCCCATTATGAAGCAGAAAGCTCTTCCCTCTCAGTGCCATTTGAGCAGAAGGTAGAAAAAGTTACCACGTCACCACTGAGCCTGTCCACCATCAGCGTAGCAAACCCCCTCTGTGGGAGTTACACTAACTTGTCCCTTCTACCTTCGTTGGGATGGGATGAAGAGCTAGAACCTGCCAGTTTAGGGGAGCAGGTCCTGGCCCTTCCCTGCAAATACCTTCCCAGATTCAGTGCCTCCAAAGAGCAGCTCGAAGGGCTTGGGGTGGTTCCCCAACTGGACTCTGAAATGCGCCTCTCCTGACCATGGCACCTGGCCCAGGGCTGGGCCCCATACAGCTGAGAAAATAAAGGCAGGAACAGGTCAGTAGGGAGGAATTAGGGGATAATCTGCCACAGGAGAGGGTGCTGGGTGGAGTAACAAATTTAGTAACTCAAGCCCTCAGCTTTCTGCACCGGGAAAGAGCTAATCTAGGGCTCACCCCACAAGCAACTGCTGCTCGCTTCACCTCCTCCTAGTTCACACTCAACACCTGCAGTGCATTTTAGCACCATTTTTCAACAAAGGAGACACCTGTGAACAGCACCAGTAAGAGTCCCTGGAACTTGCCACATACCATCAGGGCTCAGGGTCTCTGCCCATGCCCTCTGGAGCCCATGTGCACAAGCTCAAATCTTCTGGGCCCCTCATGGCACAATCCTCACACCATCCTTTCTCTGGTCCATCCCACGTAACCCCAACCAAACCTGTGCTTCCCGCTGCACCACAGCCCATTCCTGTTACCTTATTCCATGCTAGGGAGGCCAATAAGCAAGAACAGTGGGCCTGGATGAATTAATGATGCCACAGATGCTAGCTGCATTACAGAAGGGTCAGGATTTGCCATCTGAAATGATTGGATTAACAATTTTATTTGTCAACTATAAAAGGGCTGGTGTTTCATTCCAAATAGATAGTTCATAGGGCTGAGACCCACATGAGACCTTTGCAGTCCCTGCTAATGACAATAATATGCCGTAGTCAGCCCCCTGGCTAGCAGGTGTGGGCCTGGTGACCACAGAGATCCAGACTGACCTCCTGAGTGTCTGAGGGGGGGGCCAGGGTGTAGGCCACAGGTTCCAAATGTAAAGAAAGTGGTTATGCTCACAGGGGCAAAATGCAGTTCTGCCTGGTCCAAGGTCCCACAAGGCCAAATCCTGTGGAAACACAAATTCCACAGCAGCCACCACAGGGACAGAGAGCAGGGGTGTTATTCAACGCTGGAACTCCTGCTATGAAGGCACCGGTGGGCAGCAGCCCTGTAAGCAGAACCAGAGTCAGAAAGCAAGAGGGAAAGAACCGGTAGACAAAGGAACCAGGAAGAGCCAGAGGACACGCTGGAGAGGGTGACTGGGAATGGCTAGAGGCTGGGGGCACTCCGCTGCTCCTCTGAGCTTCAGTTTCCTTAACTAGAAAAACATAACTACTGCCAACTGCCACACAGATGGTAGCTGTGAGCATCAAAAAACATGAAGTGAAGGAAATGCCTGGCACAGCCCAGCTACACAGCAGAGACGTGTCAGTGCCACATTTCTCCTTTTGAGCCTGTCCCCCGAGTTGCAGCCTCTGCTATGGAGTTGGGAGCCAGTGTCAGTGATAAGCAGTGTGGTGACCATTCACCAGGTACCTCCCATGTGCCGGACACATCAGGGCCTCACATACATTTTCACAGTGGATCCTCACAACAACCTGATGTAGGCATCTACCTCTTGCTGTGGATGAGGAAACTGAGGTTCAGAGGTTGGCACCTTGTCCTGTGTTACAGCTGGCAGAGGAGCCTGGGTTTTGAAGCCATGCCTGCCTGACAGGAGAAGCTGGCTCCTCCCGGCCCAGCCCACAGCTGGAGGCTCTAGGGCAGGCAGAGCAAGAGTTCCCCAGGGCAGCACCTCCACCTGGAGGGGCCGGGCAGGGAACACAACACCGTCAACTTGGAACAAACTTTTATTTTGTGTGCTGGTCTGGTGGGTCCATGGCCACAGGTCACTGGTAACTAGAAATAGTTAGGAGGGGAGGAGAGGGGACCAGCAGTCCAGAAGCAGGAAGAATGGTGAAGGGTTGGGGACGGAAGGGAGGTGAGGCTGAGGAAGGACCCAGCCATTTGGGTGTCTGCCGAGGCTAGAGAAAGAACACATCTCTGCCCGTCAGCCCACTCTAAAGTGAGGGCGTCAATCTACAGCGCAGACCAGGCTGGTTTGGGGCCCATGTTGCCATCTCTGGCCTGGGCAACACTACCCCCACCCCAGGCAATGATTCTTCCAGAGGGCTTATAGTCTGGAAGTCTTTTTTAACCACCTCCTACCTGCCCTCCCTCAATTGAGGCTTCCGAATCTGGGGCTCAGGCCATTCACTGTTTACTCCTGTAGCAGCCATGCTGGGGTGATGTGGGGAAGGAGGGGCTCCAGTCCCCACCTGGCTCAGAGGAACAGCTGGCACTCCTACCTAAAGGAGGTGCTAGTGAGCACAGCCCTGAGCAGACAGACCCCAGTCCTGGTCATCAGTGCCCCGAGGCCCAACAAGAATCAGAGTTGAAGTTCAAGCAGGAGGCTGCCCTGGGACGAGGCAGCTCAGCAGAATCAGCAGAGCAAGAGTAGCCCCAGCCAGCCAGGCAAACAAAGGATTGTCTCCGAGGGGAAAGAAAAGCCACCAGCTGTCTTTGGGTCAGTGGCAACGGTCAGAGTTAGGGGCAAGGAGGGTCTTACAATCCAATCACTGACACCCTCCACACATCTACAGGTTACAACTTAAGAGCTTTTGGCATTATCTCTTTTGGGGTTTAAGGGGAACAAGAGGGAGAAAGAGAAAAGAGGAACCACCACTCTCCACTCTGCTAAAATCCCCAAGTCTCAGAGGGAAGGCTCCCTGCTCTGGCAGCAGCAGACATGTCACCTGGGAGCCCCGAGGCCGGCTCCAAGGTGGGGCTCCAGGCGCAGAGGAGAGTGAGCACAGGGAAGGAGGGTGCTCTTCAGCTCCCAACAGCCCTGAAAGGTTCTCACAGAGAGAAACAGACAGACAGACGGACAGGTAGCCAGCTAGCTCATGGAGGCTGGTGGCCAGCCACGGAGGAGGCGAAGAAGACTGCCGGGGCCCTGAACGGCCGCACTTCTGCACCTCACACACTCCCACACACACAACCACACACACACTAGAGAGAGAGAGAGACAGATATATAATAAAAAGAATAAAAACTAAGGGCCCCGATGTACAAAAAATGTGTGAGGAAGAAGGCAGGGAACAGGGTGGGAGATGGTCAGTCCTCTGCAAGTCTGACCACCTTCCTCAGCTTATAAATTACAGCCCCCCTGGAAAACGGGGGTCGGGGGAATGGCGAGGGTCCGGCTGTGGCCTAGGGGAGAGCGAGTGGCGGTCAGAGTGGCTCTGGCCCATCTGGTGGAGCAGTGGCCAGAGCACGAGGATCCCTTGGGTGGTGGAGGGGGGCTGGGGACATTCAGCAGCCACTGGCAGGAGTCATGCAGGCCCCCTGGGACTTCACCTTGTGACGCTGGCCCCCTCGTCGCCGGCCCCCACTGCCGGGCTTGGGCTGAAAGAGAGAAGAAGGAGCTTGAGAAGCAGTGCCCATAGGGAGCAGGATGGCAGAGACGCCGGAGCAGCGGGAAGTGGGGGCGGGAGACGAGCGAGCAGGCAGTGTGGTCCCAGCCTGGCCTGAGTGGTCATCTGCTATGTCAGATCCTCTGCCAGGCAGAGCCAGTGCCCACCCACCTCTGTCGCCGGCAGTGGGTCACAGGTGATACCAGGGTAAGAGGAGCTGTGTGGAGAAGCAGAGAGAGCGGGGGAGCTAACATCGGCCACCACTGATAGGTGGAAAGAGAAAGGGAATGAAGGAGTGAAAGGAAAGACTCGATGGGGAGGGACAGCAGAAAGGACAGGTCCAGGTAGAAGCTTCCTTCTCCAAAGAGGGGTCAGATGAAGAGACTCTGGAAAGGACTGACGTGACAGGCACCAGGAGATGACTTCTGGGGGACAGAGCTGGCAGGAGGTACTGAGCGAGAGCCACACTGACAGGGCCCAAGGTCACCTACCCCTCAGGAGGTGGCATGTCAGGGTAGGGGCCCAGAAGGACCCTCTAAGGCAGTGTCTTTCAGACCTTCGGGGCTGCAGTGCACACTTGTACTCTCACAAACAATACTATGACAGGGAAACTGACATTTTCTACTCTATTTCATTAAAGCTAAACGTTGGTCAGGACCCATTAAGTTGACTTTATGTAGGCCACACCTCAGTTTGAAAAACACTGCCTTAAGAGACAAAAAGCTCACACTTAGCACTTACAGGCCAGGAGTTGCGGTAAACACCTGTCTATGAAATGGAAGATGTGACGGGCCAGCAAAGGTTGGCTGGGCTCTCCTACGAGTCACCCCCACTGACTAGAGACACAGCCGCACTCCCACCCCAACCCTGCCCAAGGTGGTCAGGGGCCCAGGACCGGCCTGGGCAGCACACCCACCTGTGACTGAAGACTGCTGGATGCAGCTGGCTGTGCAGCCCCTAGAGAGCAAGCTTCATCTCCAGGTGGGGGTGCCCCTACTGCTGGCCCTCCAGAGGGGCCCCCCTCTTCTCGTTTGCTCAGGGGACCCTTTTTCGTCGATTGCATTTTAATCTGCTGGGGCTTGGAGTTCATTGGGGAGTTGTTGGTGGTCTGGAGAAGCTGCAGGAGCCAAGGGGTGGGGATGAGACTGGAGCTGCAGGCAGTGATATGGGCTCAGCTTCTCCCACCCCCCATCCCCCACCCCTAGAGGTCTCAGGACCTCTCACTCCGTGGCCTGGCTGGTCCTGAGTGAGGCAGGTGGCAGAGGACTATGACAGGGGGTGGACGCAGAGATGTTCTCCTTTCCACTCACTGTACCAGGGCTGCCACGGCCTGAGCTGATGTCTCACCTGCCTCAGCCCAGCCCAGGAGGGTACCATCCTGTTCCCCGCCCCAGCTGCTCTTCCCGCAGACAATCTGTGAACCTCAGCCATCTCCTACTCAGCCCAGCTCCCAGCCTGGGGTCCAGTCTGCCCAAAGAATAAGCTGTATCTCCTGCTGCCCCTGTAACAAGAATCTGGGGCAAGTTTTGACTTCAGGCCTCCCAGAGAGACCGAGTGTCTCAGGAGCAGGAAACATTTGGAGTGTGGCCATCAGAAATCTTAAGAGCTACCATCCAGGAAGGACTGACTCAGAGCCTTCCCTGGTGGCCCAAGTTCAATTTCAAACAAAGTAGAGAAGAAGCCCAGCTACAACCCTAAGGGCACTACAGCATGTGCTGGCAGCTCCTGCCAAACTCTCAGCCAGACCAAGGCAAGTGGGCCTTCAAGGATATGACCCTCCCTGTTCCCACAACATATGCTGCAGTTCTGAGGTCACCATGGATGGGCCTAAGGAAGGCCATTCTGGAGGAAATGTGAGCCTGAGGCTGATTCCAAGATCTCAGACAGGCTGTATGGAGCAGGGGTTAAACCACTCTATCAAGTGCCCCTACTCAAGGCCATGGATGAAGTCTGCAGAGAGCATAAGGTTGGCTCCAGGAGACAGACAGCTCAAGCCCCCAGGGAAATCAAGCCCATCACTACTGTCTAGCACTCATTCCATCTGGACCCACTGCTGTAAGTGCACTGCCCCAGCCAGGTCATCGAAGCCTGTGCCCAGCATCTCGGAGGCTAGGCCTGGACACTTTCCCACCACCCTTTCCTGCTGAGGACTGCCATGCTTCAACCCCACCTTCTCTCCTCCATGATCACCACCAAAGCCCAGAAAGATGGGAGGTCTAGGGACATTGCCTCTCAGGGGAGCAGAGAAGATGGCACTGAGGCCACACCTTAGAGCAGTTTCAGCTTTCGCAAGGTAGGGACTGGTGCCTCTGCCCCTGGCAGTGAGGGAAAATTCCACAGGGCTTCTCAAAAAGGGATTGCTGTGCTCACAGTCTAGAAATGGAGTGGCCCCCGTACTTCCTGCAGGTAGGCAAGGTGGTCTGCCAGGCCATACCTTGGTGATGGTGCCCACAGCCTTGGTGCGGCCTTCCCGGAACACCAGCCGCTGGTCTATGTGCAGGTACTCGGGGGTCTTGATGAAGCGGAAGTGCACTGTGGCCTTGTCCCCGGTGCGCAGACAGTCCTTGTCCATGCTGAGAATGGTGGCCGTCTGCCTGATGCTCCCACAGTGCACTGCCAAGGGAGCCAGGAGGTCAGGATAGGCCTGAGCTGCCAGTTGCCTCAGGGCAGGGGAGGCAGTGAGTAAAAGCATGAAACATGCTGGAGCTGCGGCAGGCTGAAGACCTCGGTGCAGGGCCAAGTGTGGCTGAGTGAGCTGGAGGCCTGCTCTTGGATTTGATCCTGCCTCATACTCTCCCATCTTTTCCTCCAGTTAGACCCCACTTTTCCCTGGACCCACAGTCTGAGTTTCCGAACACAGGGCACTCTGTTTGCATGCATGCCTCCTCTGCACTGTGGGCTTCCTGACAGCAGGGCCCTTGCCCATCTTGTCTCTGTCCCCAGCACTTTGGCAACACTACCTGGCACACAGCAGCGCTTGGTAGATGTCTACTGAAGAACTGAGTGTGAGGTCCTTTGAGGGCAGGTGTGGATCTCCAGAGCCTGGTATAGAGCCAGCACTCTGTGTTTGCAAGACTGAATAAACGCCGCAGCTCGTGGGTGGAACAGAGGGGATGGCATCGCTCAACGGGACAGAGACCTGACTCTTGGCTGTAGCTGAAACTTCGGGGTTTGGATTGCTGGAGCACTGTGGGAGGACCTAGAGCAGGCAGCTTCTGGCTGGCAGTGCCTTTAGACACCTACCCATGGCCTGGTAACGTGGGCTAATTGTGGTGGGGTGATGGAGGACGAGGATCTCGGCCTCAAACTCCCAGGATGCTTGGGGATTCAAGCGTGGAGAAACCATCACCATGCCCTTCCGGATGGATGAGCGCTTGATCTGGAAAAAAAGATGGAATCCCAGACCTTAGGGACAATAATGCCTTCTGGCTTCACCCCTTGGTTGTGGAGGATCAGGAGTCCTTCTGGAAACCGGGACCACCCCAACTTCCCCTTGCCCTCTCACTGCACTGGACCACAGGCCTTCTAGAGTAGACAGCCCAAGGCAGACTTTAGTGGCATGTGGGAAACCTCAACACTGCTACCCAGGGTCAGGAAAGACTTCATGTAGAAAGTGGCATTTCAGCCAGGCCTTGTGGGATGGGTAAGAATTAAGTGGGTGGTGACAGGGCAAAGGCAGGCAAGCATTCAGGTGGAAGGAATAGGGCCACCATGACATGATTGTTGGAAAGTATAAAGAAAATCTGACTTTGCTGGTTACTTTGGGATGGTGGGAAAGATAAGTGACCCCAGAACTAGCACTCACCCCAATCCCCAGCGGACAGAAAGCTAAATGGTAATTTGGCGTGGACCCCGACAGCCCCATGTAGAAAGAGCCTCTGCACAGCAGGAGGCTCCCAGCTGAGCTCACCTCTGAGCTCAAGGTACCCTGGTTGGGCACTCAGTGGAGGAATAGAGTTTAGGAGGCAGGTAGGTCCGGGTTCAAGTCCCAGCTCTGCACTTACTGGGCAAGTCACTCAGGCTCTCTGAGCCTCAGTTTCCTCATCTGTAAAAGTGAGGCCAGTAATTCCTGTCTTGCAGAGCAGCCGTGAGGACTAGAGATGGCCCAGGGCCTAGCATAACACGGAGCCCGAGGGGAGTTTTTGGTATTATCAATACCCACCTTCTTCAGTGCGAAAGAGGCCGTCTGGCCCCCTCGAACCTCCTTGACAGGCATGCGCTTGCGATGGATCGATTTGACAGCAATGGACAGGAAGTTACCCAGGGGATCTGGGCCCAGCAGCAGTGTGTCATTCAGCTTGATCAGGCCCCTCAGTGTTGTCCCCGACACCACTGTTCCTACACCCTACAGAGAAGACCCTGGCCCAGTAAGTCCATCCCAAACACAGACTCACCCCAACAGTCCTGCAGGAAGCACCACTCAGCCTCCCACCCTGTTCAGTTCACCAGAACCCACTCACTGGGACAGAGTAGGTGTCGTCAATCTGAAATTCAGCAGGTTCTTCCTCCCGGTAACTGGTGCGAGGGGACAGGAGGTTGAGGAACATCTTCAGCAGATCTAGGTTTTCGCCTGTAACGTTGGAGATCTGGAATATTGGGCACATCCTAAAGGAGGTGGGTGAGGGGAGAGTGGAGAGAAAAGACGAAAGGAGCTCAGGTGGCCAGCTCCTGCCTGATAGGGTGGGAGCAGCAGGAGGGCTCCTGAAACAGCTGTTGCTGCTAAGGGTCCCACCACCCTCTCATCGGCTCCCAGGGCTCCACCTTCTGCCCGGCCCACGATCTCCTGTCCAGACCTGCTCTGAGGTCTTCTTGTCTTACTCAGTTTTGTCTCTGAAATCTGTCCCCACCTGCCTCACCACCACTGCCCTGTTGGGGGGGGGGGGCTCATGACTGCCTCTTCTTCCTAAAGCACACACATGCTTAAATCCTTAACTGACTTTCCACTGCAGAGATGACAGCCAGACTCCCTCCTCCCAATATCTCTGCCAGTTTATTTCTCTCAAATTCCTATATTCCAGCCAGACCAGAGAATCTTCCCTTCTCCTAAAGCTTGGGACTTTTTTGTTCCCATGTACTTGTTCACTCTGATCCTTCTGCCTGAATTCCTTCCCTCTTTTACAACTACCAAATCCTCTCATCCTTCAGAGTCCATCTCCAATCAGATGCCACCTCTTCCAGGGAACCCTTCCCAGATGAGCACCCTTGACTCCCTCTGAACTTTTGGAGAACTTTTTGTGTCTCTGTTACACATGACTATATCTGATCTTCTGTCAGAGTTATCTTTACTTCCTACTCATGGCCTCTATATTTCCTATCCATGGTTAATCAAACTCCTCAGAATCAGGAATTATACATGCCCCATAGCTCCTAGAATAGGGACTGCAAGGCCCTCAACAAAATGAATGAATTGTGGCCCGCTGAAATGGACCCCCTCCTGCTGGCCAACTGGTGGTACTGAAGACAGCATCAGGGCAGAGCCACAGTCAGGCTGCTCTGGGTCCTGTACTAAGCAGCCCCAAGACCCTGGGAGAAGGAGCAGAGTTAACAAAATTCACTATTATCAGGAAGTTATCTCTGACCAAGGAGCCGACCACCTTGAGGACAAGGATTATGCCCAAGGCAACTCTGACTCCTCAACGCCTAGATGAAAAGCCCAGCACAGGACAAACATCCAATAAATATTTATGGAATCAAAGGATACACTGATAAGTAAATGCTCAAACTGACCCACGATTAGAGTATTTTTGAGAAATAACAGTATAAAAAAAACAGTTATAAATATAGTTGTGTATCTATCATACAGCAGCTAGGCACAGTACTAAATGCTTTACATACATCATTTCCAACATTTATGAGAGCCTTATGGAGAAGGTAATATTCCAATTTCACAGATAAGGACACTGAAGTCTCAGCTAGGATTCCAACCTCAGGGAGGCCAGAACCTCAGAATCTGAGTTACCTGATACAGCCCCATAGCAACACTCCTGAAAGCAGAATCTTCGATTTCAACCAATCTTTATGCCTGCCCAGAAGTGAGCGCTCCCTACCCATTACCTCTCAGAGCTGAAGTTGGAGGCCGTTACAATTACATCATCCTTGCTCTGCACCAACACAGGGATCTTCCGGCAGCCCGGTGACTTCAACAGGCGCTGTAACAGCTTCAGAGTTTCTTAAAGGGTGAAATGGAACAAAATTAGGAGGATACAGCCTTCTCTCTGGCCAGGCTTCTAGTGCAAGACAGGTTCCTCATTACTGATGTAAGCAGGAGACAGACAGACGGACAGTGTTAAATGCCACAATGCCTGGAGAAGCAAAAAGAGGATTGAAACTTTGGATGGGTAAGTGCCTGCTAGAGTAGAAGGAGAGTCCAGATGGGGCCTGTCTGCTAAGGTTATGAGTCTAAACACTGTCAGGTTTCTCCAAAGTCTCCAGAAGACCCACATCCTATGAGAAGGACAACGCTGTCCCAGAAGTCTTTGCTTCCTGGAAAAAAAGTTCATCTGACAAAAAGATCTCTAGGACATTTAGATACCGGCAGAAGCCCTCACGAGGCCTTCCAAAAGGATGCACCTCCACTTCTTTCCTGCCATCTTCAGCGATACGGGAGAAATACACGGAAGCCTAGGCCTGCAACCCTATTGTGAAGCCTTTGGTGGTAAAAGGTAGTCAGACTCTCTGCCCAAATGTCACCATATCTGTCCAGCTTAGATGTTAAAACCCACCCTCCTGCCTAGAATCACCTGAAAAGAGGTGCCAGATTAGGAATCTCAAGGATCCTGCATTTGGAACCAGAAGGAACAAAGAGTAGAAGATAATTCTAGGCCATGCTCAGACCAAGAGCCAAACAGGGAGGAAACAGAAGATTCTAGGTCAACGGTTATTGAGGCCAAGGTCTAAGCACAATACAAGGAAGCAGAAGACCCTGGGCTGCAGCCCTGGCAGCAGATCAACAAGGAACCACAGTGGGTGACTGCCCCAAACAGAGAGACTGCTGCTGGCTGTTGCTTCACTTACCTTGCAGGATGTTGGCAGGACACATGTCAATCTTGGTGACCACCACAAAGACAGGCACATTGAGTGCCAATGCCAAGCCCAGGTGCTCCTTGGTCATCCCCACAATGCCAGCATTGCTGCCCACCTGCCCCAACACAGAAAGAGCCATCAGGACAAGGGAGACAGAGATTGCTGCTGAGTGGGCACAGGGGCTCAAAGAAGGCTGAAGTAAAAGAATTCCCATCTCTGAGGCCACCATTAGAACAGGACACAGGAGGCACAAGCCTTAGGCCAGGAAAAAAATGGCTGTAGATGAAAGCTGGGCTGGGCACAGACTAGTTTAGCCTCCAATTTAATGATGTGGGCTATCAAAATCTGAGACTTGGAAACAATAACAAATTCAGTCTGAGAAAACAACTATCTAGAGTCCTCATAATGGATTTCAGTTTAACAACCCTGGCTGAGTTTCTGCATCTATAAAATGGGGGGATAACAATATCCACTTTAGAGGGTCACTTGAGGTTTAAATGACAAAACATATGTCAAAGGTCCAGCACACAACTGGCATGAATTAGGTATTCAAGCAATGGCAGCTGTTACTGCTGTTACTATTCCTTCCCATAACAATGTTTTAACATATGATCAAAAAGGCTGATTAAGTAAATCAGAGCACATGCAAAAGTGTGCCATACAAAAGAAAAAGGAAACTCTAATCTACTGATGTGGGGTAATCTCTAAGATATGTTTTTAAGGGAAAAAAGCAAGGTGGTATACAGCATACCATGCTACCATATAGAGTGGTGATTGGATCACTGTTTGAAAAAAGCAGCTATAAGACATCTGGGGAACACCTGAGGTAATGTAAACACTTTTAGACTAGATATTACATAATATTAGGGAACTACTGTTCATCTTCTTAGTTGTAGTAACAGTAGGAGACAGTTCTTAAGTTTTAGGAATTGTGTGCTGAAGTATTTTGGGGTGAAAAGTCACAATGTCTATAATCTGCTTTCAAATGATTCAGCCAAAAAACCAACCAACCAAAAAAACCCACATATGCATCCATCACAATCTAAGCGGAGGATTTATGGTATTCACTGGACTACTCTTTCAACATTTCTCAATGTCTGAAATTGGAGAGAGAAAATATATATACATTTGGTGGTATGATTGCAAAATATCTCTGGAGGATACATAAGAAACTGGAGGTACTGGTTGCCTCTGGCAAGAAACAAAACAGAGGAGGAAGAGAGACTTTTCACTATAAGCCCTTTGGTACCTTTTTATTTTTGTACCATTTGAATGTATTACTTACTAAATAAAATAAAATTAAAATTAAAATTACCATATATTATATATATATATAGGGCTTTATACATTCCAGACTGTTTAAGTGATGCTTTCCTTTGATCATCACAGTTCACAGGTGAGCCACTACTCTGCTGACACAGATGTCCTTCGCATGTTTCCTTTGACCGACACCAAGGTACCTCCACTAACTTCCTCCTAATTTTTCCCATTCCCTCCAACCACCTTCCCTAACCAATCCAGGCTTGTTTTTGTTCTTCCCAAGTGGGAGAAGAGAATGCTCTCTCTCGCTGTGGTCTACATATTTTCAAGAGTTTTTATTTTTTTCCTGGAAATTGACTGCCAAGGAACAATTATGAAATATTTCATTGTTTTCTACAGACATTTTTAATATTTAGCTCATAGTCTAACAGTCAGATAATATATCACATTTTATCTGGGTGAAGATATTTCCATTAATTGGCCTTGATCACTGCAGCCCAGTTAGAAGAATGCTCATTTTAAACTGACTTCTATATCCTTTTTAGTATCAACCCAACAACTGCCCCAAATACACCCTATAGCTCTTCCACTGAAACTCCTTCCTATAAAGTTTTCCTTAGCCAGTCAAGGTTGGTAAGGGCCCCATGCAAAGCTCAAAGATATGGGAGATGAAATCACATTGAGATCCCAAGAACTGTGGGCAGAGAGCCGACAAGAGTGTTCATACATATGCTCTGCCTCTCTTTAGTCTCCAGTTTGGGGAGAATTTGCCTGAGAACCTGTGTTTGTGGGGCAACTTGATCAAGTTTGCTCTGAACAGATGCTTATATTTACTATGCTTATTAATACGGGCAGCTGGAGGAACTGGGAAACGGGGGAAGGGCTTTGAGAAGGATCTGCCACAGGAAAACTTGCTCGCCTGTGCTCTGTGTGAAAGCTGTGAAGTCCTGACCAAGGCTGTGGGCCTCACAGACTCCAACTCTCTGGCCAGGGAGGAAGACAGCAGAGGGACCCAATGCATGCTTCACAACATGAGCCAGCACAGAAGCCCCTGCTCCCTTTCCTTTTCAGTTTACCTACGTGATGAGCTGCTGAAAACTCTATCCCCATTAGACTGTAAGCTCTACGTGAGCTCTGGACGGCCTGTTCACTGCTCTCCTGTTCAGGCCCCACACAGTGCTAGGCATGCAGAAGTCTCTCAACAAGTACCTGTAGGTCTGGGTGACACTCGTTCCAGGCTTCAGAAGAGGCCACTTCTCAGGCCTCTCCAATCGCTGTCTGTGCTCTCCTCCATTTCTTCCCCAGGCCTCCCCATCTTTAAGGGTGCTCCTGGTATCATCACAAAGCAGCCCAACCCCAGGAGAAAACCCTCCTGAAGGTAATAGGGACACCGCAGGAGAAACCCTCCTCTGTGCCTCTCCAAACAATAAGAGAGATCTGCAGATGGCACCTTGGTATCTGCTACGAGGATCTCTTCCTGGCCTAGCCGAGGAGAAAGACTGACATACACCCCTTGAGAAGACTGCAGAGCTCAGAAGACTGGGCACAGCTGCAAAACCTGTAGTCCTTACCCAAAGTCAAAACCCTAAACTAAAAGGCCTCGTCTCAAAATAATTTCAAACACTTCACATAACCACACCCTAAGAGCCCCGCTGAGGTCTCCCCTCCCCCTCAGCATCACCTCCCTTACCATGAGCATGCAGAAGTCAGGTAAATGGCCCGTCATGCCAAACACAGTGGTCTTCAGGTACTTCTCATGGCCAGCCAAGTCGATGAAGGTAATCACCTTAGTGGATTTCTCACAGATCTTTGTCCACTCCAGGCTGCCACCGTGGCTGTCTGGCTTGTTCACTACATTGCCTTCACTGTCAAAGCCCAGAATGTCATTGCCCACACTGCTGGTGCGACCAGATTCAATCTCGTGTTTGTGGCGGAAGAGTTTCTGGCGGGCAAAGCCTCGGCCATTGTCCAGCTCTCCATGGGTCAGGACCCCCAGAAGCGTACTTTTGCCAGCATCCACGTTGCCCACCACTGCTACCCTGCATGTACATGAACCAATACATTTGTGTGAGAGTTGGTGGGTGAGTGAAGTGAACCCCAGCAGCTGGATCCATAAGGCCAGGTTCACCCCTGAGCCTCTCCAGCTCACTGCTCCTTCTATTCATGGATGAGCACACTGGGAGATGTATCCAGGGAGTAGAAAGTTATTCAGGAGGAACTGGGTTCCCACCACAATGGCTTTCTCCCTTAACTTCCACTAGCTTCCCCAAAGCTGCCAGACAGGAGCCCTAAAGCCAAGAGAGGCACAAAATGCTCCCCTCCATTCCCCTGGTTTCTAGCTTCTCACACTGATCGAAAAGCAAATGCAGCCCCCCAAATGGCCACAGGATGTATGGTTGGCCTCTCTCCCACTCTTCCCAAATGGAAATATTTAGGGATGAGGAAGAACAGAAATAGAGAATGGAGCTATCAATGTCTCTGGACACTCCTTCCATGCTTCAGGAAGAGAAAGGGCGAAGCCCATATGCCAGGTGTCAAAGGCCCAATCACCATTCTTTGTAAAGCCCTAGACCCCAAGGTCAAGCTGCAGGTGACCCCTGAGCTGCTCTGAAGGCCCCTCACCTGACTTCCAGGAAGTCATTGTCTCCTACTCGTTTCCGGACTAGGTAATCGCGCACACGGCCCCCAGCTTCTTGACGTTCCCGCAGGAGGATGACATCAGCCTCTATCTGTTCTGCCATGCTCTTCACTGTGGCGTAGGAGGCCTCCATGTCAGCTTCACTCAGCCCGTACTCGGTCCCATCTGGTGACAAGAGCCCAGACGTCAGCCTGCCAACAAGCCAGCCAGTCAACCACTCCTAACCAAGGCCCCACCCTGGACACTGGAGAAGAACATGGCTCTCTCTACCTGATATTTCAAAAATGTGGGCACATGTAGAGTTAAGAAATAATAGGACCAAGGGCTTCCCCATTAAGCAGGGCATTCATTAATTCATTCAACAGTAATCACTGAGACCCTCCTAGGTTTTATGCCAAGCCTCATGCTGGGTATGGGGAATACACGTGCCCTCAGCAGGCTTACAGCCCAGCAGGAAAGACAGGAAATTAATTAACTGCAATACAACTTGAGTGCTGTACGATAGAACTGTACAAAGAGAATGTAAAGCATGAGCAACTAGCATTGCCTAGGGAAGCTGAGGACAGCTTTGCAGGGTGCTGACTCCAAGCTGGGCTTCCAAGCATGAAAAAAGGGCCTGCAGGGAAAGAAGGAAAGACATCCTAGGCAGGCAGTGGAACAAAGCATGGAACACGGCAGATCATGCCACATACAGGGACCAGTTAGCAGCACAGTGTGTTGGGAAGCAGGATGTCGGGTGGCAGGAGACCACATGAGAGGTGGAAACGGTTAAGCAGACAGACATCACACAGCAGCAAAACACATATATGTCAGACAGTCAGAAGCCTTGGGGGTTACACAGGGGAGTAACATGATCAGATCGCTGTAGGACAGAAAGACCTCTTGAGCAGCAGTATAACATGTGCACTGGCAAGCAAGAGACCAGAAACAGGGAGCCCAGGTAGGAAGTAATTCTAATAGTCCAGGCAAGAGATAATGAGGACAGGAGACAAAGGAAAATGGGGAGAGAATTTAAGAATGATTTTAGGGATAGATTTTTAACTGAAGTGGCTCAGGTGAAATGTCCAGCAAGTCTGAGCTTAGGATGGGGAAGGACTGATCAATCAACCAATAATGTATTGAGTGCCTACGGTATGACAATCCCAGTCAGGTGCTTTCAGCCTCATATCATATTTATTCCCACAGTAACTCCCTCAGCTTCTCCTCCAGCCTGTCTCCAAGAGCACCCCTGCTCCTTCTCTGGGCTCATCCCCCCGCCCCACATGTGCCCAACCTCTTCTCTTTTCCTGCCTAGAAAGACCCTGCAGCACCTTCTCTCACCCCCATCCACTTCTCCCCTTACAAACAAGCTCAAGTCATTTCTAAACTACAAAAAGAAGACCCAACCCCTCCTCCTTTGGCTCTGCTTATCTACTGAGCTACCATCTTCTCCAAGCGTCTCCAGAGTAATGGACACTTGTTGACTATATTTCCTCACTACCTACTCGCTGATCTCTGGAAAAAACTGGTTTTCAAGTCATCGACAGCCTTCTACCCATTCATCCAATGCCCCTTCCTTGACTCCTGCAGCAGTGGACACTGCTGGCCTTCCTCCCTTTGTTTGTTTCTTTCTTTTTTTATTGAAGTATAGTCAGTTTACAATGTTGTGTCAATTTCTGGTGTACAGCATAATAGTTCAGTCATACATATACATACATATATTCGTTTTCATATTCTTTTTCATTATAGGTTACGACAATATATTGAATATAGTTCCCCCTCTTTGTTTCCTGAAGCACTTCCCTTCCACACTGCTTGCCTATGACCCGAACTCTCCTGATTCATGCCCCCACTCTCTTGTTCTTTATTCTGTCTCCTCTGCTGGCTCTTCCTGCTCCTGTCCCCAGATGCCAGTCTTTTTCAGTAGTCAGTTAGTGGCCCTCTTCTCTAGCCTCAAAACATTCCCCTTGGCCATCTCATTCTATGGCTTCAACAGTCATTTTGAAAACTACAAAAACATTCATAACTAGTCCTCTTCCCAGAGCTCCAGGCTGAATTTCCAACTGCCTAAATGACAATTCTAGAAGCGTCATGTCCAAACTCAACCATTCCACTCCGTTTTTTAACAACAGCACAAAAACTTAATAAAGCATGTTAGTCCTCAATGCAACTCCATGAGTCAGGCATTACTGTTCCCATTTAATAGTAGGATAAACAACCCAGAGAGGTCTTGGAGCTGGTAGGGAGTAGAGGGGCCATGTGAGCTTGGGTCTTGTGATTCCAAACGTATAGTCTTTTCCTCTGGCAAGGGTTCCTCTTAACGCCAGACGAGTTCCTCCTCTTGCCTTCCATATTTCTGATGACAACACTGTCCTTCCAGTCATCCAAGCTTATTAACATTCATCACTCCAGTCCTACTGACTCTAGCTTTATATCTTGCCCCCTTCCTTGTCCCTGCTGTTCTCTTTTTGCCAACCCAATGCCACTAGTCTGTTTCAGATCCTTATTCTACCTGAATCACCACAAGAGATCCCTAACTGGTCTTAGCAATCCTTCCAACCCATCCTGCATAGACACACTAGCTCAAGTTCCTAATAAAGCACAGCTCTGATGCTGTCACTTCTGAGTCAAAGCCTTGGAAGGGCTCCCCAGGACCAGCAGCATTCAGTTCCAATTCCTTAGAGGCTTCCCCCATTTATCCCACCCCATGCACCTATTTTCTCCTTTTAAGTTTTGTTTCAGTGCAGGTGGCCCAGTTACCATCCTCCCATGTTCTCTGCACTTTTCCAACTCTAAACCTTTGTTCATGCATTTCCTATCCTAGAAAGCCAATCAGCGTATCCCCACTTGTCCAAACCCTACCCATTCTGCTCCCTTACACAATTTACCATGGATAGTTTTGGATGCATGTCTTCTCTCACTATACATAAGCCTCCTGAGGACAAGGATCATATCTCAAACATTCCTGGATGCTCCACGGGGGTGCCTTTCCTATACTAAGTCCTCGAATGTTTGTAAAATGCAAAACAGATCAACAAAGGGAGAGCAGTTGGGTTGAGGAGTTTCTAAATGCATGGCCAACTGAGCTCTGGAAATCTGGGTTAGAGAAGGACTTGTTGGAAGTGTTCCTAAGAGAAGACTTGATAGTCCTGCCATTCCTGCGAGACCCCCAAATTCTACCCAACCTTTCTTGCTTCCAGTACAATGAAAAGCAATGCTTTCAGGTCTTGTCCCACACTAGGGGGCAATCACTGGTGTGACCTTATCCATCCAGTGCTTCCAGAAAATGCTCACTCTTCTCCAGCATGCTTTGTACTCCTCACTCTGTAGGAGTGGAAACAAAGGCCAAGAAGAAAAGCTGTAGAGGTCCAATTACTAAAGGTTGCATATTCAGCCATGCAGGAACTGGACCAGATTTGAGTCCTGCCCATGACTTGCCTTTTCTATCTGCACTCTCCTGCTCAAGGTGATGCAAAGTCTCCCCAAACTTAGGATAAAATTCTAAACACTCTGGTATGGCATCCAAAGACCCTCAGAGCTGGGCACTGACTACCTGTCCAGTATCTCCTCCTAATACTCTCAACCTCATACTCTACACCCTCACTTTACTGAATCAATTCTGGTCCACCGAATATGCCACAGGTGGCATACTAACGTCTCCATGCCTTTGTGCATGTGGCTTTCTCTACTCACTCACTGCTGCCTCCATTTACCTGGAAAATTTCTACTCATCCTTTAGAATTCACTCAAGGGGCACCTCCTCCCAGAAATGCTTTCAAGACTTTTCTGACCCTCCGACAAAGACAACACTTCTCCCATGTTCCCTGAACTTTTACTACATTACCTGGTTCTTAGAAAGTCATGATTTACTATTTGCAGAATGAACAAGGTTCTTTTTGAAAGAAATCTCAGAGTAAGTCAACTAAAACCTGGAACTCTTAAAAATTACTACTGCAACTACTAATACTAACATTTATATAGTGGTTACTATATGTCCAGTGTGAATCTTAACCATGACACCAGAGACTAGATTCTATTTTTATCCCCATTTTAAGACAAGGTAAAGAGCCAGTAGGCAAACTCAGACCTGCCAGGTTCCAGACCCTGAAGTAACTACTAGGTCACATTGCCTCCTTTTAAAATACCAACCTTAATTTAAGAATGTATTCTCAAAGAACACATTCCTTTGCCCTGCTTAGAAGTTTTTAAACTCTAATTTATCTATACAAAATTTCTCTGAGGTTGGGGGGATGTCATTAGCCCCATTTCACAGATGAAGGAAGCGATAAACAGACATGAAGTACCAAGCACACACAGAAGCCAGTGATGAAGCTGACTCCGGGGGACTTGCATCTGGTTTGTCCTCTGTTTGATGTTCAACTTGTTTAACTAGTTATGATCCCTTTCTACCTCTTAAGAATTCCAGCAGGAAAGGACTCACTATGAATCTAATAGCATCCAATTGCTAGATGCAAAGATAATGTTTGGGTGGGTAAGATATGTGTTAATGAATGTTTGACATCTTTTTAAGCTTTGCCATGGGAGGGTTAATTAGCTGTGAGTCATCAAGGTATAGTAAAATTCACTAAGAGTCCACATTAAAGAACAGGGGGAAAGAGGGGGCTTTAAGAATCTTGGTCTTCAAAGAACAGTCCCAACACTTGTCAAAATTGATCTGGATGTGGTTTCTTCAATTCTATAAGCCTGAAGTGATCTTTGAATGGTTCATTCTATTATAGTGGGCCAGATGTGCACCTGACACAAAAGCTTTCAAAAGGTAACCAGTGATCCCCTAGTCACCAAATGGAATGCCTTTTTCTGAGCCTGACTTCTTGTTGTCTCTGTAACACCTGACAATGCTGGCCAACTTCCTCTCTTTTTTGACATGCAGCCTCTTGGTTTGCCTATCTTTCTGACCATTCCTTCTTTGACATGATAAGACCTAAAACTGGGGAGGTGACAGCAAAGATGGAAAGGAAAGGACAGATAAGAGAAGCATTTCAAAGGATGGCAGAGCAATATTTGGAGATCAAACCCTTCTTCCTCGTGTCATTCTTGCAGTATTTCCAAATATTGTTTTCAACTGAGGTTAACTGTATACAAGCCATCTTTCCTTCTTGGGACAGAGGCCAGATTTTAAGTATCCAAAAGTGCTTTGCAACAGTATCAAGACTTAAGAAGATACTTAATAGGTATTTGTCAAATAGTTACAGAATGACTTTAGAGATTTCCTCCACCTTAAACTCAAGACTACAAAAGAATTATTACCTGCCTTTACAACACCTACACTCACCAAAGAGAACTGTTCCTTTAATTGCACTGAGGCCTATTAGGGATTTCTGCAAAGATGAGACACAAGATTTGGTACAGGCTAAATTCGTAATTATTCAAACAAGCCCAGCTACCATTTCAGCAAGGATAATGTCATATTGAAGAAGAGGGTAAGCAGGCTTTGTATTGAGGGTATAAACTAAGAATGACAAGGGAAAAAAAGCCCAAGCTATAATCTTGGGAATTCTGCAATGGGGGCTGCCTTCTTCTAAAGGAATGGGCCCCATTACAATGGAATAAGGGGATTGGAGGGCAGTAACAAGTCCCTTCTAGAACAGCAACAAGGCTACATGTCTGATGGGATCTCACAGGGAGAAAAGAGGACCTCTGTTATGACAGCAATATCCACTGAAAGGTCAATGTGGTCAGCAAGGCAGCCTTGCTGAAGAGAGGAATTCTGGGTGTCCTTTTCTTGCTGACATCAAGAAGTATCACAGAGGTTTCTTGCTAAGCAGGCAGTAGGTAGCAATGGGATCTGCAAACAGGTTTGGAGGGGAAGACCTAGAGCTGCCTAGGGAAGGCTTAATTCCAGACCTAAGTGTGACTTACTCTATTACCTTGGACAAGAAGTTTCCTTGCTTTGTGCTTCATCTCCCCTTATGCAAATGTAGAGTACTGGAGGTAGAAAAGAAGTATCTGTAAAACCGCTTGGAAAGTGAATCTTTAAAGTCAAGCATATTATGACCACTACGATGAGAATTAAAATTATCACTTTGTACTTTTATGTCCTCCCAAACAGTTCTGCAGACACTAAAGAATCATTGCAACTGACATACATGAACAGGAAAAGCTGATTAAAGAGGGAAAATGTGCTCTAAATAATTTTTTTAATAAAGTGAAAGGAAAACTATGCTCACCTGATCCCTGCCCAATGACATATATGGTCTCTCCGCATCCCTCGTCCATCCTCTCCCACATTTGCCGAAGTAGGCTGTCATACTGCTCTGATGTAGGGCTCACTAGAACCAGCTAGAAGAGAAACCAACAGCCTTAGGACCACACTTGCTAGAAGAGCACCACAGCCAAAGCAGATCAATAGCCTGACCAAAGACCCTGGCTGAACCCCAACGCACACTGATCTGAAATAGCTGTGCAGCCCCCTCATGCCCTCTCTGCCTCTCCTTAAATAGCTTTTGAGCCCAAGGCCTTACATGAGCTGAGTTATATGGAGTACTAAAATGAGTATGTCTGAACCACAACCCACAGAAAAGAGGGTGTAAGCAGCCTGCCTCCTGCTGCTTAACAGGAGGGGCAGGATCCACAATGACTGAGAATCTGGCATTGTAGGTAGAAACTAATGAGCAGTGCTTTAGACCTACATGCCAAAATCTTCTACCTGCAGCTTGCAACTCACAGGACAGAGATCTCATACACTGCCATGTCCTCCACCCAAAGCCAATGATTCCCATAATAACAAAAGAATTGTATTCCATCTTGTTGTGACTATCTTGATTATTTAGAAATCGGCAGTAAAAACTGCCACAAGAGTCATCTTTATCAACAAAGCACCATTACCACTAATATGGGTATTAGCACCATTATTTTGCAAATTTCTGCCAATAACATTAAAATATCAACCACTTATTTGAGAAGGCCATTACCAATAGACACGTCAGATCCCATTCTCTCACCACTCATGTGTGACCTTGGATAAAGGACTTAACCTCTGAGTCTCAATTTTTTAATCTACAAAATGGAGACACTACCATTTGCATCCTAAGGCCACTGTAGAGACCAAATAAGATAACATATCTAGTCCACAACTCAGTAAGTCGTAATTACAGTTTTCTTTACCCCATCATTCCTAGAAAAATCTTGGATGAACCTAGCCACCACAGTTCACTAACTGTTTCTCCCTTTGGAAGCTCTCAGAGCCTTAGGTTTGTCCCCACATTTAACTATAGCAAGTAAAGTATATAAACTTATAGCTTTTAATCTTTTCCTCAGGAATCAAATCTATTCAACCCATCTCTTCTCTCCCTTCACATCAGTTTTTCTTTTGGATAACACCAAATTTATCTATAGCTTCTCTACTCTAAAACCGTGAGAAGCATTTCCCCAACTAGGTATGAAACAACACTTCCCTATCCTGGAACATTAAATAAGTTGGTTAGGAAATGAAGGTACTACTCTCTTTGCAATTCTGTCATGGAGTTTCCCTTTGTTTTCAGGTTTCTTCAGCACCTTGACCATGAATTGATATCTAGCTCATCTGCTTCTGAGTCAAGTTCATCTCTTACAATTTCCTGAGTTTACTCATCAGAGCTTGTACTTTGAACTTGGGTGCTGCCTGGGTCTTTTACATTGTGTCCCATTGCCTCACATATTTCCCCTCACTATCCTCTCTCCAAACTTGGCTATCCTCATTATGGTATTAGAAGCACCAGACAGGATCACTGTGATAAGGTGGAGCACTGGCTTCTAAGTGCTCAGCTGAGACTAAAGGGAGAGCAGTTAGTTGCAGGTAAAGTTCTCCCCAGTTTGGACCAAGTTTCATGCAATTTTGCCACCCACCACAGATTGAAAAGTCACAAATGTTTTCAAAATTCATTAAACATCTCTATTGTAAGTATCCAACAACAGGTAGAAGGTGATACTGGTGTTCTATGTTGTATCAGCTGCTATTTAATCTGCACAGGAAATTACTAGTTTATCTAGTTCACTTCTAACATTTACTGAGTAGTATGTATCCAGAAGTACTGTAGGTTTCTTACATACATTTCTCACTTTTACAACACATCTGTACTTAAATGATGATGTTGCTGGAGAACTGAGAGGTTAAGAAACTTCCCCAAGGTCACAAAGCCCTTTTAACTGGCAGGGCAGGAAAGGGAACCCAACCCTGTCTAACTCTCAAGTTGGCAATCTTTCCTTTAGCAATGTTAGGCACCTTCAAAACACCAGTCCCAAATTATACTTACTTTCTAATCCCCCCACTGCAAAGCAGAAGGTGAGCCCTTAAATCCTGCCTACCTTCTCACGAGCTCAAAAGACACTATTTAAAACGTCCTTCATTATTCCATTCATACGAGATAAAGCCCCACTTCCAGGATGGCCAAATGATGGGTCATGCCCATCTTTCACTTTTGTTTTGTGTGCATTTGTAAAGTAGATATTCTTCAGACATCTCTCCCGGACTGAGCGACTACTTAATGCTTCCTTTCCCGACACTAGGAAGACGCAGCTCCCTCCCTGCTCCGCTGATCCTCCCGCGCCTCTGCTCGCCCAGCCCAAGCCACCTCCGACCCTCGGCTGCCGCGGACAGTCCACGGAGAGGGCCACTCTCGGTCTCCGCGGGGGGAGGCGGCACCGCGCGGGGACA